AATCCTAACCTAATAATTTCACCTAGGAACAATTGTTTTCTTTTAAATTTTTTTGTATAATTTGAACACACTTCCCTTATCTTTCTATCCCCATTTTTCTCTCCTTCTTGCCCTCCTGTTTGTCCCTTCCTAATCCCCCTAAACAGATTTCTCTCTACTTTCAAGTTTTTTTGTTTTTTTTTTTTTTTTCCGAGACAGGTTTCCCTGTGTAGCCATGGCCGTCCTGGAACTTCCTCTGAAGACCAGGCTGGCCTCAAACTCACAGAGATCCTCCTGCCTCTGCCTTCTGAGCACTGTGTGCCACCACCACCCTGCTTTCAAGTTTTATGTATAACTATGCATGTGTGAATGACAGAGGCAAGTTTCCTTGAGTGCATTATTGCCCGCATTTTCCTCATCCTTTCTTCAGTTGCTGGACGCATATATTAGTTATATAATGCAGCCTCTGTAAACAGTGCTGTAACATTCAGGATGGTTCAGCTGTGTTAGATGGAATATCAATTGTTGGATTTGTTTAATTAAAAACATTTACAGTATGTATCTCTGTGTGTCTATGTGTAGGTTCCTGCATGTGAATATGAGTGCCCAGAGAGGTCAGAAAGGGATGTTGGATTCCCTGAAGTTGGAGTTACTGGCAGCTGTGAGCTACCCAGTATGGGTGCTGGGACTGAACTGGTTCCTCTGCAAAAGCAGCAAGCTCATGACTGCTGAGGCATCTCTCCAGCCCCCATTACCAGTTTTCTGAAGACCTTCTGCCTGGTTTCCATGATAGCTGCACTAGTTTACATTCTTATCGCCATGTATAAGCACCCAGAACTTTCCTGGTAGTTTGTTTCTACTCTCATCCTAACGATGCTTGTGCGATTTAACAGCACAGGCTTCGAAATTCATTGACTTTGCACCCATTGTTTGCTGCCTGTCTGGTTCTCCTATAAAGGACCAATCCCCGCACGACTGGGATCATATCCTATTCAGCCTCCTTAGCAGTGCTCACAGACTCCTTCCTCAGTGTTCTTTTGCTGCTGCCCTTAACTCCCATCCCCTTCCCTGCTGCCCCCCCCCCAATCTGCCCACACACCCACAACAACATCATTTGCTCAGAATGGATGTTCCTCCCTGAGCCCTCCTCCGGTTCTCCTCCCTACTTCCCACTCCCTCCGCCACAGCTTGACCTCTACGCCCCCAGATCACAAGAATCCATTCCAAACATTCATGGCTCTTCCAGTGTACGGCCTACTGCAGTTTGAAGGTGCTTCCCGAAGCTCATGAATTAGGAACCTGGTCCCAAGGCAAGAGGCTTGAGAAGTGGGCCCTTGCAGAAATGACAAGGTCACGGGCTTTGCCGTGATGAATGAATTAGTGTTTTGTTACAAAAGCGAGTGCAGGCCTCCTTTGCACACACTCACAGCCATCCTTCTCGCCACCTTCTGATGCAGTAGACACACCCACCAGGCGGCCCTCTATCTCAGTCCTCCCATGCTCTGGAACCACATGCCAAACACACTTCTCTGGTGTGGAAATTACCCTCTCCATGGTATTCTGTTATAGCTACACAAAGCTCGCCAAGCAACAACTCATCCAAATAACACTGAGCCTGCAGGCGCCGTGGCAGCGCCTGTGAATTGGTTTACGCTTTGCTTTTATGTCCTTCGGAAACGTGGCGTTCTTTGGACAATAGGTCAGACAGGAAGAAATCTTTGATTTTTAATTATAACACTGATTGGCACAGCTTCTCTCTCCCTGCGAGCAGGAGCAACGCCTTCTGCTCATGTTCCCCATGAATTCCAACAGTCTCAGCACAAGACAGACAGTATCTGCAGGGTGGCTGGAGGATTAGGGGCTTGTACAGGGAAGAAGCCACAAAGGCCAAGGGACTTTTTTTTGAAGGTCTAATGACCTAAGGGGATATTAACAAAATCATTGGACTAAAATTAGTTTAAAAAATCTGGGAGCTAGAGAAATGGCTCATTGATTAAGAGCACTTGTTGCTCTTCCGGAGAACTCAGTTTCGGTTCCCAGCACTCACAGAGCGGCTCCCAACCATCTGTAGTCCCAGTTTCAGGGCACCTGACACCCTCTTCTGTCCTCCATGGATCCCGGGCATGCACACGGTACATACATATACATGCAGGCAAAACACCCGCAGACATAGAAAAGTAAATAAATCTTAAAAAAAAAAAAATACACAAGACCGGAGGGGTGTGGCTTTCAGGGAGGCACTTTGCCTTGACTGTCACGAACTTGGTCGATAATTTGAAAATAGGAAGCAGCAATCAATTTAAGTCGTTAAAAAAGACATTATTTCAAGCAGCTACTTTTCCCTGCTCAGAAAGAAACACTGCAGTGGAAGAAACTGCACCATGTTCTACTGCAGTGCGGAGGCCAAAGACGTAGTGCATTCACACGCTGGGCCCCCTTTGCTCCCCAACCCGCCCTGTTGGGCTTAACGGTGTTTTAACTTAGAGACTGTCTAAGAGGACATGGGTGCACGCGTTCTATTCCACCTTTCCATACTCCATAAGGAATCGCCTTGGGTCAGGGCGTTTCCCACTGTAGACTAGTAAATGTTCTGAACACATCTATGGTAGGATCAGCTGAGCAGCTTGGGTTTGTCAGATGAGGTGCTGGCTCAGAACACTGTCAGCCTATAATGGATTTCCTAGGACAGAGGCCGCTTGAGTCAAGGAGCACCTGTACCCTGTGTGGCCTTAGACTTAGGGAGAGGTGTTTCTGTCGGGAGCATTCAGGACTGAAGACGAGGGTACAGACGGTGGGCATCGCCAGGAACACTTGGCTCCTTTCTGTGTCCTCCATGTGCCCCTCTTCGCACACTTGCTGTGTTCTCCCTGCCACTCTGGCCAGGACATGGTCTTCCCACAGCACAAGAGGGGAGGCATTAGGAATGTTCTCTTTTTACAAGTGGGAGCTTTGTTCAAAGGACTCAGTACCTGGCCAACTTGTAGTTAGCAAGTTGCAGGTCTCCTTGAGGACCTTGGAGGGGCTTACGATCAGGTCCGAGAGCTCTCTACTTTGTCAGGCTGCCCGGGACACGGGGTGTATTTTATAGACTCAGGACTAAACTAATGACTTGCAGTTTTGAAAACTACAACTGAGCTCTCATGGCCATGCACGGGAGTGAACATGAAAATCGAAGTTGATGTAGCCTGGGTTTGAGATCTTTCTGCTGATGTTCTAAAACACCTTTCTTCTTTTACATATGTGTTATGTAGTCATCTTGTTGAACCTCCAAGTCCTCTGCAACTCAAAGCTCACAAGGGCTCCTCGGCCAAGACAGCCACGGAAGCCATCTATATAACCTTTGACCCTGGGTTGGGCAGGCACTGCGTGAGTGGGTGGTTGCTGACTACAATTTGATAGGCATGTTCAAAGCACCAAGGTTGTCAAAAGCCGACTCTGAGTAGGTCAGTCTGCAAAGTGAAATACGCAGTGAGCCACAATCAAGTTCAGGATGAACGGCCCCGAGTACGCAAACAGATGAAGAAGACAGGCGGGCGCTCAGAACTTTGTATCTCCAGTTACCAAGGCCTTTCGTGACCATAACCTGGACTGATCACACCCAGGAGACTCAGGCCAAGAGGGCTTCAGATCTGCAGTAGTCCCTGCCATTACTCTGGTACACAGAGGCTGAGGAAAAGCTGTCCTTGCTGGATTCTGAGTCTATAAAGCGCCATGAGACTTCCAGGACAGCACTGCGACGCTCACCCCCAACTCACAGCTGTTCAAGATAAATGCAAAAAAAGAAAATAAAAAGGAAAAGGAGCAAAAGTCCTATATTGTGCCCAAAACAGAGTATGATCTTCAGTGTTGATTATTCTGGTGATCTGCGGTTTGAACTAAGGCAGCTAGGATTTGTCATTCCTAACTATTTCAGAAAGCTATTTAAAGAGGTCTAACGGTCAAAGGATTCGTGTAGAGGCCAAGACATTCCTGCTCTTTTTAAAGTGTCTGTTATCTTCTTCCACCTGTTTGTGGTGCTGGGGATTGGGTCCAGGCCTCACACATGCTAGGCAAACACTCCACCACCAAGCCACACTCTCAGCCCCTCTTCTTGTCCCTGTTAATAGAGGACTTCCTGCATGCTGACACGCACATTGGGTCCAATTAAAAAACCTTTCCCCAGGGAAGTTTAGAGTTCTCCTGGAAGTGCCACAAAAGTCACAGATATGTGCAAATGAGCACTAAGGAATGCTGCTGGGCGACACTGCTGTCCACACAGGCATGAGTGGAGGCTGCCACCTTGCTTGACCTAGGTAGGACACCATAAACGTCCCCCAGCCCTCATGCCCAGGAGAGTGGTCAGAAGAGTGAGAAGCTGTCACTTGTCCTCCCTTTCCACAAAGCACCTCCTGACCCTTCTTTCAGACTAAGTGAGAGGAAGCTCACATCAGCTCACAGCACAGAGCGGCTCTCTCAGTCAGCAAACCTGCTCCCCATGGTTGGGGCCCCCAATAGCGGGGGGTTCCACCAGAAAATGCAAGGGGAAGACATTCCACGTGACTCTTTAAAAAAAAACATACATGAGCGAAGAAGGAGGAGGAGGAGGACAGTGCACAAGGCCATGAGGCCGGCTGGTCAACCATGGGTTAACATAGGTTCAGAGAAGCACACAGTAACCCAGTGTCTGCAAATCCCTGAGCCCCAGGGTGAAAGGCATTTTTATTTGTGGAAACAGAATGGTTCCTTCTCTCACCATTGACTCTCTCTTCTCTCATTTCTTTATTTTTGGTCTGTCTAACCCCCAAATTTGGACCATCCATCATTTTAACCTGCCCAGATTTTTCATCTTTCCAGAGCCAAAGAGCAACAAATACCGGGTCCAAAGAGCCCTCTCCCACAGCCGGCTGCCACCAGCCCTTCTTTTCCCAGGGTTACAGGGTGCTCAGAGCAGACGAAGTCAGCAGGACGCAGGACGTGCCACACACAGCAAATCACCAAACCAGAATGCGTTAAAAGGGTTCCAGGGGGCGGGGGGGACTTACTCGTACTCGTGCTGGTTCCAATCGTGTTGATTGTGGTGGGGACAGATGAGGAAGAGTAGAGGGGAACATGGCCATTCTCACATCCCAGGCTTTTGTCCTGCCAGTTGGAGGCGCTGATGCAAATCCCGGAATCCCGCGAGTTCTGCCACCCATTGAGCTTATCGTCAGAGTTCTGTCTTTGGTGGTAGTAGTGCGCCTGTCCGTAATCCACGGAGTCGGAGCGGCCTCGGCTCTGGCTGCCGAAGCCGCTCGACGTCCGGTCCTCCAAGTGGTTCAGCCACATGGCGAGAGCACTGCGGTCTTCCAGGGACGTGGCTGGGTGGATCAAAGCATAGGACAGCAGCTGCCTGCTCTCCTCAATGTGCTGGTTGTGCTCGATAGAGTGCGCCAGGATCTTGGGCAGCAGCTTCATATACTCTACTTTTGCGTCGAGGTTCCCTGGCTTCAGCAAAGGCAGGTGAGTTAACAGAAGGGAAATCACTTTATCCTTGGATTCCTGCTGCCATTGGTTAATGATTCCTGAAAGGGAAAGTACACAGGACACATGAGCAAATACACCCACAGTCACACTCAACACCACTCTCTGAATTTCTGTGGCTTGGGTTTTCAGGGGCCAGGGACTTCAGTGAGCCAGAGTTCAAACATTCTTAGAGAGTGCAGTCAGGGATGCTCGCCTAGCACCCGTGACGTGGAAGTGGAGTCAGGAGGATCAGTGGTAGTTCAAGGTCATCTACTACCACTCAGGAAGTATGAAGCAGCATGAACGTCATGAGACCTTGTCTCAAAAAACTAAATTCTTGGGGTTTGGAGAGATGGTTGAGAGCACGGCTGCCTTTCCAGTGGACCTGGGTTTAATTCCCAGCACCCACATGGAGGTTGGCAACTGCCAGTAATTCTAATCCCAGGAGATCTGACACCCTCTTCTGGATTCCTCAGGTACCATCCACACATGGTGCACAGACATGCTGGCAGGCAAACACTTACATACATAAAATAAATATAATCTCCATTTAAAAAGAGGTTTAAAACTCAACAGACAAATGCTTAGTTGTTTGGAGTCTTTCATTCACGTTTCCAAGGAGATGACAACCACTTTGGTCCAACCAAAGAGAACTGACAGTCTCGTTTTCCTTCTTGGACAAGACTAGCCACAACCCTAGACCACCAAGGACCAAGCCTAAGCGAATTTCCGTTAACCGAGAGGCCACACCAAGAACTTCTTGGAGTGATGCTGCCTCCCAACTCCAGACCTTGTTCAAAGTGTCTTACATGCTGGAGAAGGGGTGTGTGAGGCCCGTTCCCATTCCTACTCGGAAGAGCATGTCAGGAGAAAAGAACCCAACACCTGCCTCCCAACCTTAGTGCTGCGAGCTGTGGCTTTCTCCTAAGAAGGTAACAGAGCCAGGCGGCCACACAGCTCCAGGCAAACCTTGGATCACACATACTGGTTCGTTATTTATCTTTATAGGATGATATGTCTGTGGGGTTTTTAACACTTTATTTTCAGTTTAGGATTTTTATTGGTGTGGACGAGTGGCTGCACATGTGTGCATGCGTAATCGTGTGTGTGCGCAGGCGCACACAGCACTGGACGCCATCCTAAGGAGCAGCATATCCACATTCATTGCCACAGTCCCCCCGAGCTCAACAATGAGGCCAGGCGACCTGCCCAGCGAGCCCCAGGGAGCCTTCTAGCTCTGCCTCCCCGAGCGACTCACAAGCATGCACCACCATGCCTGCCACTTCTACGTGAGTTCCTGGAATTGAACTCAGGTCCTCATACTTACAAGAAAGTATTTTAACCACTCAGCTGTCTTGCCAGCTTCAAGACCTCTTTGTTCTCATTGTGACAAAATACACAGCAGCAAGCATGTTAAGCATGCAGCTCAGTGTCGTTAAAGGACACTCACAATAGCATGCAATTGGCCTCTCTACACCAGCGGTTTTCAACTTGTGGGCCGCAACCTCTTTGGAGGTTGAACAATCTTTCCACAAGACCATTGGAAAACGTAGCTATTTACGTTATTGTTCGTAACAGTGGCAAAATTATAGTTACAAATAGCAATCAAATAATTTTCTGGTTGGGGGCCAGCAGGACATGAGGGACTGTTTTAAAGGGTCATGGCATCAGGAAGGTTGAAAACCACTGCTATAGACCCTGCAAATGGAAAGTCTGTCCTCCTCAAAACACAAACCTCCTACCCCTTTCCTAGACTTGGGAAAGCCATCATTCATTTTCTATTCTTAAAGAACCTGGTTTTACTCTAGGTACCTCAGACAAGTGGGAACTCAGTGTTTATCTTCTTATTTTTCTGAGACAGGGTCTCTCACTCTGAAGCCCAGGCTGGCCTCAGTGGTTGACTCAGTCTCAGCCTCCCGAAGGCTGGACGGCAGACATGAACCACCTTGCCCAGTTACCCCATGGAATGCTTCACTTCATGCAAGTTTCCTCACAGTTCATGTGTGTGAGGACCTGCTCTTTAATGCCTCCTTCCCTGTCCCACTCAAATGCCAAGCAATGCATGTTGCCTGCTAGTTTTGGGGGTGGACAGTTATTGGAAGAGCTGGGCAACTCCGCTGGATTTCACATGGAACTTTCAGGTTTGCAGGAGTTAATTATAAGCTACAAACTCATTGGCATGTCTCTTCAGAATGCTTGCAAAAAAAAAATCTCAGTGGCTTTGTCTAGAGTTCCCTAAAGATCCTGTTAAAGGCTTGGCCCCCAGTTTGGAGATATTCAGAGTGAAGTCTACTTGAAGATTTTCTGATCACTTGGAGGTATGTCCCTGAATCGGATAGTAGAATCCTACCTCATCTCTCATTTTGCCTCTTGGCTGTCATGAGATATAGTTTTCATTATGGATTGGACTCTTTCAAATTGAGAGTCAAAAGAAACCTTTCTTCTTTTTAAGTGCTGTTTCTCTTAGGATTGTGTTACAGTAACAGGTTAATGGGTCAGCATTGTGGGCATTGTGTTCAGTGAAGAAGCATGGTCTTTGGCGTCAGGCCTGGGGGTTAACCCCAGACCTGCCACTTAATTCGTAGTGGCTTAAACTTTTTGAGCCTTCACTGCCAAGTCAGTCATGGGTAGTACCAATAGTTTCTGCCTTCCTTGGATTATGAGATGAAGTACCAAGAGGACCCCTTGAGTACCTGATGGTAGAAACAATCCTTTCCCTTTTCTCTGCATCAGCCAGACCCACAGAGTGATGGTGTAATTGGCTTTGGGCGTTGAGTTTTACAAATAAATAGAGGGAAGACGTGAAGGAAGTTATTAAGAATATCAACAAGTTGGAAAAAAGATAAGGAGTGAAGGGAGGGGGCAGGAAATGAGTTGCACTTCCAACAATAAGAGGCAATTATTGGACCCTCTTCATGTGGGGTTTCCTGGGATGCTAAAGAGTCACTGTGTGACACAGAAGCCACTAACCTGAACACAGACCCAGGGTGGCTACAGAGAAGAAATGAGGACCCAGAATCATGACGGGTACAGAGGAGTTGTGGTGGAAGTTTCCAAAATCCCTGTTCCCAGGGCAGTGGCGGGAGTGGGGGTGGGGCGGAGCGTCTGAGTACTGCCGGAGCAGGGGGAGCCAGCACCACAGTTTCAAGGTACGATAACGAGTCACATACAGAGCTGCAGTAGCACACAAATAGAGTGTTGCCGTAGTCAAGTCACAAAAGAGCAGCGAGCTATTGGACTCAATCCAGCACTAAAGACGCACTTCAGCATGTAATCGGCACAGAGCATTAGGGAGACAGACATTTACCCTCTTTGGGCTTGGGTTAAGTCTTGGAAATCCAGGGTGTGCGCTATCACCAACACATCCGTACTTGAATGAGCTATGGTGCCCCGCTCAGGAGCCGGGGTGATAACCAGTGAGCAGGCCAGCACAGGCTAGACACGTTCTGCTGGAGAAGAAAGGCGTGAGCCAGGAGCTCCTTCCTGCCTCTCTGAAGATTCAGCTAATTGCCACTAGATACACTGTTCAGCTGATTGCCACCAGATATAAGAACTTTGTGTGCCTCACCAGGTAGAGCCTTTTTCAAGGAGGTCTGGGAGATGAATGAAACTCATCACAACAGCTCCACCCTTCCCATACTGTCAGCAGAGACCAGGCACCATTTTCTAGGTTTTCTTCAAGTCTGAGGTTTTGGGGGTTTTGTTTTGTTTTGTTTGTCTGTTTTGAGACAAAGCCTCATTATGTGGTTCATTCTGGCTTCCAACTCACAGCAATCCCTCTGCTGCCACCTTTCTGCTGGGATGATAGACATGAGGCGTGAAGCGTGACTCTGGCATGCTCTACACGATGGCTGTATTTAGGGGTAAAGAATCCAGTCAGCCTATCCCAGGGTCACAAGCGCCACAGGAAGGAAATAAAAGCTCCAGAGAAGAACAGAGGTGTCCTAAGTCAACAGTGAACCGGAGCAGGTGGCACTCACACAAACCCTTACACTTCAATTTGGAAACAACTTTTAATAAAATTGTGGGAGGCTGAAGAACTTCCTAGATTCCTGCTAGGTCACTTCCCTGTTTAAATATTCTTCCCTCACAAAAGGTTGGTCTTCAGGAAAAAAAAAAAAAAAGTCAGGACAAAAATAAAACATACATAGGACTCAGTGCAAATGAAACATGCTGTCTCCAGCAACCACTTTTTGCTAAGGATTAACCCGGACTCAGAGGGAAGAGGCACTGCAGAGGATGACGAGAGGCCTCTGTCGCTGGTCCCATCTAGGGCCGACATGGCGCTATCCTCAGGAATAGCCTTCCAACGTGAGTGTGGCCAGGTTGTGGTGTGAGCAGGAAGACACGCGCAGTTTTGCTTACCTCTCTGGGGACACAGCCATAAGGCTGCTTTCTGAGGCTAACCACACCTACTGGCTCAAACGTCTATTGCCATAGCTGTCACACTGACGGCTAACAGTATTGAGCGGTTCCTGTGGGCCAGGCTCTCTTGTAAGCCCTGTGCATTTAATTACTCACTGAATGCTCTCAAGGAGCTTAGCGGAGGGGGCGGGGTGGCAGAGCTCATAACTAACCTGATTTTGCTGATGACAGAGACGGACGTAGGTGGAGCAGCTAAACTGTCATTGGTCCCTTGACTAACGAAGAGGCAGGATGGAGGCAGACAAATTAGCGTAGCTACAGATGGTTGCCACGCTAGAACGACCATAAGCTAGATATTTCAGCAGTCGTGGAATATTGTCGTCACAGCAACTGTGCAGACACGCGCAGCTCCCGTCACACGGCTGTGGGCGTGCGGCAAAGGGAGCTTCAGAAGCAGCGGAGATGAGACTTTTTCTGGTTTTAAGGTGCTCATAATTTCTTGGACACTGGTCGTGGGGAGGGAACCTCTCCCTTGAGGTCTAGGGGGATTTAGTGAGTTACGTGCAGCCATGTGGCGGATGCAACTTTAGGGCTCAGGTTATAAAGGGTGCGGCTCCTGCCTTGCTCTCTTCTCTAGGGAAGTCAGTAGTCATATGGAGAGGTCACTCTTCACCCAGGAAGCAATCCAGTGAGG